AGTGTTGAGTCTATGGACTGCAGTGTTGAGTCTATGGACTGCAGTGTTGAGTCTATGGGCAGTGTTGAGTCTATGGGCAGTGTTGAGCCTATGGGCAGTGCTGAGTCTATGGGCAGTGTTGAGTCTATGGGGCAGTGCTGAGTCTATGGGGCAGTGTTGAGTCTATGGGCAGTGTTGAGTCGATGGGCAGTGCTGAATCTATGGGCAGTGCTGAGTCTATGGGGCAGTGTTGAGTCTATGGACTGCAGTGTTGAGTCTATGGGCAGTGTTGAGTTTATGGGCAGTGCTGAGTCTATGGGCAGTGTTGAGTCTATGGGCAGTGTTGAGTCTATGGACTGCAGTGTTGAGTCTATGGGCAGTGCTGAGTCTATGGGCAGTGCTGAGTCTATGGGCAGTGTTGAGTCTATGGGCAGTGCTGAGTCTATGGGGCAGTGTTGAGTCTATGGACTGCAGTGTTGAGTCTATGGGCAGTGTTGAGTCTATGGGCAGTGTTGAGTCTATGGGCAGTGCTGAGTCTATGGGCAGTGTTGAGTCTATGGGCAGTGCTGAGTCTATGGGCAGTGTTGAGTCTATGGGCAGTGTTGAGTTTATGGACTGCAGTGTTGAGTCTATGGACTGCAGTGTTGAGTCTATGGACTGCAGTGTTAAGTCTATGGGCAGTGTTGAGTCTATGGGCAGTGTTGAGTCTATGGGCAGTGCTGAGTCTATGGGCAGTGTTGAGTCTATGGGGCAGTGCTGAGTCTATGGGGCAGTGTTGAGTCTATGGGCAGTGTTGAGTCTATGGACTGCAATGTTGAGTCTATGGGCAGTGCTGAGTCTATGGGCAGTGCTGAGTCTATGGGCAGTGTTGAGTCTATGGGCAGTGCTGAGTCTATGGGGCAGTGTTGAGTCTATGGACTGCAGTGTTGAGTCTATGGGCAGTGTTGAGTCTATGGGCAGTGCTGAGTCTATGGGCAGTGTTGAGTCTATGGGCAGTGTTGAGTCTATGGACTGCAGTGTTGAGTCTATGGGCAGTGTTGAGTCTATGGCCAGTGCTGAGTCTATGGGCATTGTTGAGTCTATGGGCAGTGTTGAGTCTGTGGACTGCAGTGTTGAGTCTATGGGCAGTGTTGAGTGTATGGGCAGTGTTGAGTCTATGGGCAGTGTCGAGTCTATGGGCAGTGTTGAGTCTATGGACTGCAGTGTTGAGTCTATGGGCAGTGCTGAGTCTATGGGCAGTGTTGAGTCTATGGGCAGTGTTGAAACTATGGGCAGTCGAGGCCGACCAAAACTGAATTTCTGGTTTCGGCCGAAAACGAAACCAGACCGAAAGTAAAAAAATGACTTTCGACTGAAGCAGAAACTATGCAAAAAGAGGCCATTTGCCAACCTTCGACGCCGAAACCGAATTTCGGTCGGCCTCTAGACGCGTCATAGACTCGTACGCACGCACACCCAAGCCTCCTCCTGCTGTGCGGAACCCATGTGGAGGAGGAGGTGGGGTGGAATGGGGTGGTTGGAGGAATTAATTGGATCACTGGAGGGGTGGGTGGGTTGGTGTGTGTGTGGCTGGTGGGCGGATGAGTGAATGAGTGTGCGCGCGCGCGCGTATGCACACTGTTGGCATCAGCACGCTGCTATAATCTGCTCAGTGTGCCGTGCGTGCGTGCATCTGTGTGCTTTGCGTGCCACCCGCGTGTGTGTGTGTGGTGCGTGCCTCGAGCTGCCTGCGAGAGCCCAGCCTCTGAGCCGCTCAAACAAAAGTGCTCCTGGTGGACTGCTGCGAGTGCTGGCTACGCGTGTGCTGCTTGCTCGCTCGCTAGTTTGGTGGTTTTGGGGGGAAAGTTATTTTTTACTTATTCTTCTCCGTCGTCTGTGCGCGTGTGCGCTGCTTGCGATCGCCAGAGAGAGTGAGGAGCGTCTGCCATGAACCACCTCCGCCGCCGCTGCTGCCTGGAGTCGCATGCGTGCACGTTGTAGTTTTAGAGGCCGACCGAAACTGAATTTCTGGTTTCGGCCGAAAACGAAACCAGACAGAAAGTAAAAAAAATGACTTTCGGCCGAAACCGAAACTATGCCGAAAGAGGCCATTTGTCAACTTTCGGCGCCGAAACCGAATTTCGGTCGGCCTCTAATAATGGGCAGTGTTGAGTCGAAGAACAGTGTTGAGTCTTCTTTGGTTCTTTCGGTAAAGTCACGTAGAATCAGAATAAAATAATAAAATAACACAATAAAATTCTCACGACGTTTCGGCCACAACGCAAGCGGCCATCTTCAGGTGAAAGGTACAGACCTGTCGGGACGACAGAGCTTCAATGAACGATGTTAAGATTCGTAGCGACTTTTAAGCTGGTTGGGAGAAGTGAGGCATCTTGACAAAGGGGTTTACATATCAAATAGCTGAGGGATTAGCTTGTGACTGGTCACAGGAATGGCTATGTTAAAGTCAAAACCTACACATCCACAGAGGCAACTAGTAATTTAGCATTGAAATAGCTAAGGGATTAGCTTGTGACTGGTCACAGAAATAGATGTTAAAGTAAAGGCTTACACATCCACAGAGCTTCAATGAACGCTGTTAAGATTCGTAGTGTTGAGTCTATTGGTCAGTGCTGAGTCTATGCGCAGTGCCCGCCTAATGTAGAGGGGACGTTGATTCCAGTGGGGGAGGGGGTGCAAGGAGGGAGACGGAGGACCGAACACGGGATCGGGGCACGGGTTATGGAGTTGGGACCGAGACAGAACTTGCCACACAACGCAGCTCGCCACGAGAGGCGCGGTCCATGGCCACCGGCACCAGCACCTTGGGGTGCTGACGTCACGCTTCCGCAACAATTGACACGCAGACGGACACCCACTTGTTGCTGCCACACGAGTTGCATTAGAACAGCGTTTGTCACCGAAACAACACGGACCGCTGGGAACGCGCGTCCTTCTCCACCTGCAACGGGTGAATGTGGACGAGTCTGGGCGGCTTGAGTGATTTGTGGGTGGAGTGTGAGTTGGTTTTGAGTGACTGTGAGTTTGGTGAGTGTTGTGGATGGATGTGTCAGCTGGTGGATGTGTCAGCTGGTGCATCTGCCAAGTCAGTCGGTCAACCCGCGGCACCTGGGTCTGTTCCGTGACCCCCTGCCAGCGGGCCTTCAACACTTCACGTGGCCGCAGAGTGCACCTAGCCTGGCACGAGTGCTACTTTGTGGTTGATGAACATCGGTTGGTGTTGCGTGGGGAGCGGTTCGCGCACCGCGCTTTGAACCCAACCACCCGGGTTCGGATTCCCGCTCACGGCCACCAAACACCAGTGACGGGTATCTGAACCTGTCTTGGCCCTCCAATAGGTCGACTCGGCCTCAAATGCGTACGGGTGTATAAGCATCGCCACTGGGAAGACCAGACAAAGGCGGTCGTGCGTGGTTGCTCACTATCAGCACCTGCCCCTGCAGTCTGTAAAAACAAAAGTTCTATACGGGTGATCCGTGTCTTTGAATGTCAGCAAACCCAAGGCACATTGTCTCTGTCCCGTGACCTGCCAGCGAGCCTTCGACATACTTCACATGCCTTCAAGACGCACCTAGCCTGGCACAAGCGGTGTGGTGACATCACCGCCACTTAGTTAAGATTAATTGTCAGCAGTGGTGTGGGGGCTGATGCCCACCTCGCCGCTCTCCGTGAGCGGGCGGGGGGCGCGACGTCCACCCCCTCCACTCCCCCCTCCTCCTCGGCCACTTCTCGCCGGGCCCCCGCCGGTTGGGTGATCGGCCCCCCCGCACCAGCGCCCTTTCTGAGGGACATGGTTAAGTGGCTGGCTCACCACCGCCCGGAGTTATCCCACACACTCCCCACGTACACCACCACTAATGCGGAGGTGGCTGCGTGCACGCGCGTGCCCGTGCAGGCCCACGTTGCCAACCACGGCTAGCGCTAAAAATAGCCACATGAATATGCACGCGCCCTCCCCCCTCCTCGTGGCTAAGCCCTAATCCGCGTGCCCGCAATGCTAAGGTAAACTGAAAAGAAACGGCGGCTGTATGAATATGCACACCTACCCTCCGGTGGATCGGCCTTAATCCGCTGTGCAAACAGATGCTACACGAAAAGAAGGAGATGACCTGCGGCAGGACCCTGGGTGCACGTCTCGCCGTTAAGGCTATTTGTACTGTGTAAACGCGCTGCGTAAAGCGCGCTGGGAGCGTCGAGTCGAGGTTAATCTACGCGCAAGCGGCAGTGAGTGGATTTGGCAGTGAGTGGATTTAGCGCACCCCGACCCCCACCTTAATCACTCACGCGGCACAGCATGCGCGTGTTTTCTACACACTCGAACGAAAACCCGCGTAAACAATGACGGTCGTGTAGATGGTAATAGATGCGCACCTCACACACCAACCCCACGCTGACACCCTGCAGCCCCGCGCTCGTGTGGAGGGTTGCGAGGGGATGGCGGCGTCGGCGGAGTTGCTCCGTTGCTCTGACACCACAGTGGGTGCGTGCGGTTGAATGTGGTGCATTATGAATCCGGCGGCCCGAGTTCAATGCCCCTCTCATGGCCAGCATCAGTGACGATTATCTGAACCGGTCCTGGGCCTCCCCTAGGTCGACTCAGCCTCAAATGAGTACCTGGTGCGGTGTTCAAACATCGTCACTGGGGAAACAAGGGCGGCCGGGCGTGGTGCTGGCCACCCACCCCCTCGTGTGCCGTGCCGACCTTCATAGGCGCTACTCGCTAACAGCACTTGCTCCTACAGTCTGTTCAGGCTATACGGGGCATCTTTGTTTTGTTGTTTGCGGTTGAATGTGGATGGGTGAGTGGGTGGCTCAGTGCGTGGGTACGTGATGAAGTATGGATAAATAACCCCCACGACTGACACGTGGGGGAGGTGGGGGTGGCTCTGCCAGTAGTGGATTGAAAACAATGCTGTTCATGTAGACACGCGCTCCTGTATTGCTTAAGTTGTGAGTCAGAGATCATGACTAATGCAGTTTGTTTTATTTGCTTATAATGGGGATCTGTTTCTGATTGAATGTTAAACGCATTTCATGTTATTGGACTTGCATTGTAATAACGGTAATCGTATATGCAACTACACTTTATAATTTTTTTCCAACGGTTTTACTTAACTTGATTCCTCTGTTTGTCGTGGTCAAATCTTGTAAGCAAAATTTCGTCAACTTCCCGTTGTCCAATCAATTCCACATTTTGCACACGTACTCAGATCCGGTGACAATGCATGGCTGTCGCAAAATCGGTATCAATTAATAAATTAATTCGCTACTTTAAAGCAATTAACATTTTGTATGGACGCCTTATTATTTATATATTTGTGCAGGTCAAAAACTCCGCGGTCCCTAAACTGTTGAATCGGCTCGCACAAAAAGCAGGCGCCGCGTGTCTCCCCAGAACTCCACACACACGCGCGCCATTCAGAACGTAGCTGTCGCCGGCCTCCATGGTAGATGCCTCGATGTTGGTGGCATCAGAGGAGGCCACCTACAAAAAGGGAGAGCGATTGCGGGGGTGGGGGGGAGTGATGGCGGTTAGGGTCAGGGTTCACGTGCACTGCTGCTGCCGCCCGTATGCGCGGTGCTCTGTCCAATTGCGTCTCGTCTCTCCGTTGGCGCTTGGGGAGCTGTCTGATACTTGCGTGTGGTGCGATAGCAAGAAATACACCACAACGACGACGACGACAACCACGACGACGGAGGTATGGGGGGGGGTAGACGCGCCGCGTGCCGCGAGTGCGTGCGCCGCATGCCTGAGGCTCCGTCATGGCGAAGCAGGATCAGATTTTGCCGTCGAGCAGCGGCGCCAGCCAGCGTCGGCGCCGCTGGTCCGTGCCGTAGCGCACGAGCACCTCCGTGTTCCCCGTGGCCGGGGCGGAACAGTTGAACGCCTGCGCGGAGAATGACGGCAAGAAACGCAGCGTTGTCGCGTTGACGATTTCGAACTTGTAACTCTGCGCCACCGCCGTGCGGTGTTAGCGACCTCGCTCAAAATGAGAAAGAGAGACAGATGGGTGGGAAGGTAAACGATTTGTGGACCAACGCACCTCGGAAGCGTGCAGCGAGCGACCCATCTCCTCGCAGGCGAAGGCGTGCTCCACGTTAGTGAGGCCGGCTCCGTACCGGGCGTTGGGGTCGGCCTCCCACGCCAGGAACAGGTTCCAGAGCCCGGCCCCACGGGCCTCCATCTGAGCCGCGCGGGGGGTAGTCGCGGGCCGAGTACAGTTTCTCATTTGATTCCAAAATGTGTAAAATTGGCACAGCTGGCAGACACTGAGACATCGCCCGTGCGTGGCATGGAGAAGCATGGTCAAACAATTGCCGTGACCCACGCGGCGGTATTTCGTCATGGCGGTGGTAGTTGTGTCAGTGGCAGCAGCGGAGGTGGTGTTAGCGACATTGCTGGCATTGTTGTCGTGGAGATGGTGGTGGTCGTGGTTTCAGTGAAGGCAGTGGTAGCAGCAGTGGTAGCGGTGGAAGCAGTGGCGGTAGTGGTAGCAGTGGCAGCAGTTATCAGTAGTGGCGGTGGCAGAGCTGGGCAGTGATGGTGTTATCATTTGTGGTGGTAGCGGCAGTGGTGGTATCGATGGTAGGGGTGGTAGCAGTGGTGGAAATGAGTGGTGGTGATGGTTACGGTGGTGAGGATAGTGGCAGTGACGGTGGAAGGGACAGTTGTGATATCGGCAGTGGTAGTGGTATCAGTCGTGGCGGTGGTAATAGTGGCGGTAATAGTGGCAGTGGCGGCAATGGCAGTATCAGCGGTGGTGACGGTGACGTGGCGGTATCAGTGGTGACAGTGGTGGTGGCCACGTTGACAGTGGTGGCGGCATCGTAGCGGTTTTATTGGTGGCGGCAGTATCAGTTGTGGCGGTGACGATGACAGTGGCATCGGCGGCGGTGGCGACGACGGTGATGCGGCGGTATCGGCCGAGGCGGTTGTGCCGGTGCGGGACGAGTCGGGTTCCAACCTTGAGTTGCTCCAGCAGCGGGTGAGGCTCCCAGCGCAGCAGCTCGGCCTCCGCAGGGATCACGTGCTCGCCCACAAATGCTCGCACGGCCTCCACCGTCGCGCGGGCCGCCGGGGCCAGCTCCGCCTCCCGCACCGGCATTCCGCCACCTCTACCGCCGTCACCACGCCCGTTCGCCGCGGCTGGCTCGCCCGCGCAAGTAGCGAAGAAGCGCCGCGGGCAGCTGGGTGCCTGCGCGCGGTGGACCTTTTTGGGGGGCAATCAACCGCACAGGAGTGATCGATTTAAATCGATACTTGAGCTCGAGATATAATTTGGGTACCCATGTTTGAGAGAATCAATTATTTGCAATCTTCGTAACTTAACGACGTATGATACCGTTAGATTTAGGCGAATAGAGCAAACTGAGAGAGAAAAGATGGTAATGGAGCCAACGGGACATACCAGGACGAAACGACAGATATGGAGCTAGATGGAAAAAAATTACATGGAAAAAAATTATCGATTTATTGAATGGAATCGTCACTCCACACAAATGGTGACGATTCATCGGATCGCTGGAAAGGCGAATCGTTCGGCGTCTAATCCACGGCTACGCTCAACCGACACGCACAAAACAAGGAGGCTGACTCACAGCCGTGCTACGGCAGCTGGTGCTGTAGGGCCGGCCGGATTGCCCTGCCGCACCACCGCCGGGTGGCTTGGGCTGCTCCTTGAAGATGCAGAATCCTTCCCGTGTGGCCAAACCCCAAGCCACGTCAGCCATCAGCTCTGCCAACTGACCAGCCTCCTCGGCACGTGGCGAGCACGCATTACCTGCGTCGCCGTCGTCACACCGCCGTTACACACCGCCCTTCGCACACCGCCACCATCGCACCGTCACCGTCACGAACATCTCCTTCGTCCACGTGATCGTCCACGTGATCGCTTCAAAGTACGAGGCATGAGCCCGTCTCTCGGGGGCATTTGGCCTACTCTTCCACGCCGGCCAGACGCCTACCAACAGGTGGTGGCAACGGCCGAGTGCGGGGCGCACACCTGAGAGCGCCCGCTTGTAGACGCCCTGCAGGATGGCGGCGACGCGGAAGAATGAGAAGGCCAAGTAGAAGTTCCAGTCCTCGACGGGTGGGCGGCCAGAGGCACCGCAGTACGCCTTCATCATCTCGTCGTCGCTTGGAATGCCCAGCGCCACGAGGTCGCGGCCCTTCAGCCCTGCGGAAGGCGGCGGAGAGAGTTGAGGCGCAGCGGCACGCGTACGCAGATGAGGAGGGGGGGGGGGGGAGTGCGGGCGGAGATTTTACAGGCGTCACGCGGGAACATTCTCCTGAGGTCGGAGCACAAGAAACCGCGAGGCGATGAGGCGTTGGGTTGCCCGATGTGCCGGTCACGCCGAGCGGTCAAATGTGTCGTCCGCTTTAGTCGAATGAATCAAACTGATAGTCGGCAGCGATCGACTCTTTCAAGATTCGGACAGCCCAGATCTACGCGTGTCTCTGCGTGCGCGTGTGCATTCGTGGGGGAGCGTTCGCGCGGTGGTGAGCGCGCTGCGCTATGAACCGAGCCCGTGATTCGTGTGCGACTCCCCCTCGCAATCAATTAACAGAGGAGAATATTAAACCGATCCTAGGCCTTACATGAGTACCTAGTGTTGTATGTAAACATCAGGAAAAGGTGGCCGTGCGTGCCGTTTGCCACCCACCCCTTTCGCGTGCCGTACCATGCCGGCCTTCACACGTAGACGTCCGCTAACAGCACTAGCCCCAACAATCTGTTGAAGGCTTATACAAGGCGTATCTTTGTGCGTGCGTGTGCGCATCTTTGTGTGCGCAGACCGGGCAGGATGGGGAAATTGTGGGGCAGATGGTGAAGCAGGCAGCTGTGGGAGAGGTCGGAGAGCGGGTCGCCCAGTGTCGACATCTCCCAGTCGAGCACGGCTCGCACCTCCAGCCGCTCCGCGTCGAACACCAGGTTGTCCAGCCTGGCCAATCGTCGGTCGTGCGTGTATGTGCGTGCGTGAAAGTTCAGTCCCTGGAGAATCTCCCAGCAGCGCGCGGGGCAAAACGTTGGACGTCGCCCTCGGCCAACAACAAAAGTGCGCCGGGGGACCGCGCGACGGCACAACCGCAGACGCCCACGCGGGTGGTGGTGTCGGGAGTTAACGGTCAACATACCACTGGCAACCATCGTTTTCCTCGTCTGTGCTGCCACCGAGACTCATAATCGACAAACAAAATCGATGTTTATTCGGCTTTTGTCATTCGTGCAAATTGCATTTCACAACCGTTGGGGAACCACAGATGAAGGTGAGCCAGCCCAAATAATTGCTCGGCAGTTCCCCCTGTATCAATTGTTTTTTCAGCCAGTTAAGTGTTTATACGTGTGGCAGGAAACCACAGAACCAGGAGAAAACCCACGCATGCGAGGGGGCCAACACTGTGCCACACAGAAGGGACAGATGATAGCAGGCCACACTTTGCTGTACTGCATTCTGCTGGCGAGCCAGAGTATTGCACCTCAATGCAAGCAGGAAGAGGGTCAACATTGTCATTTGTGCGGTGATCCACCAGCCGTTGCTGCCCATGCAGTGCTGGATTAGAGGCGTGCACCACCACGGGCCATGCGTTCATCCCATCCCCACTTGACTGCTGCGATGTTAACTACCTCGCCTGGTATGCAGGGGGTCGTGGGTTCGATTCCGACCCTGACGCCTGCTGTATATTTGCAGTTTGCATGTGCTCCCTGTGGTTGCATTGATTTTCAACCGTGTCCTCTGGTTTTTCCCTCCACATTTAGAAACATGCGTTTAGAGTATTCGGCTGCTATAAATTTCCACATGATAAGCCATCATTGTTGAGCTATCACTTGTGGCCGGATCACTTCTGAAAAAGAGCTGCATAGCTCAGTGGGCATTACCTGGTAAAAACTCCCTCATCCCACTGCAGATCACAATGGAGAAGCAAGTGTTTGGCACAGTGGACCGTTTTGTAACAATAAGCAACAAAAGCATCAAGTTGCATCCAAGGGCATAAGCCGCCCCACCCAAAGTGGGGAGCACGGGCAGAGGGAGCTCGCTTTGAACCCCCTAACCGCCCGCCTACCCCACCGCGGGGCTCACCTGAAGTCACCGTGCACCACGCAGGTGGCCTCCTCTCGGGGCAGGTGAGCCGGCAGCCACTCCATGAGCAGCTCCATGGAGGGGAGGTATTTGGTCTCGCTCTCTCGGTACTGCTTTGTCCACTTCTGCACGTGCCGCGTCATGTATCGTCCTGCCAGAAATGCGTTTTTGATTGCCGGTTGGCTACTTATTCATATTAGACGTATACGGGTTCGATCGCGTAAATATAAATGTGCCGTTAAACCCGCCGCCACCCGACACAGCCAATTAGTAAGTTAACACGTAGGCTTGAACGGTTTGTCACATAAACAAAACATGCCAATTCGAGTTCAGCACACCAGTGTGTTGGAGAGTAAACCCACAACATTTACCATTCGAGTACGATGTTTCGCCAGTTTCACAACTTTGGCTATCGCCGGATGAGGATGGTTGTTATTACCGGCGAAACGTCATACTCTCCCTCCTCATCCGTGGATAATATTGATCGCGAAAGCCTACTACGTGGTTAAACTGAATCTCACTGCTGGACGAGAGCGTCAATGATTGCGTGAATAAATATGACGGCACTTATGCATGCAGGAAAGGCCCCGCTGAGCCTCGAGAACTCGCGGGGTGGGTGGGGGGGCCCTGTTATACATTGGGCAGGCCACGCCTTGACAACATATAATGAGAGACGCGACGAAAAAGTCACCGCAGCTTGGAGATAGACAGCAGCAACGAGATAAAATCACAGAGCTCGGAGAAGAACAACCGAGCAAGGGAAGAAATGTGACACGATGACCGAGGCCTTTGCCCATGAAATGGGATGCTACAGGCTGACAAACAACAACAACGACGACATCCATACATTGGGATGTCCGGCCAAACTCTCCAGGGACGACTTGCAATGGGGGAGTGGCAACGTGGGGAACCCACCGGTTTTGCCGAAGTCGGTGAGCCCCGCGGAGCTGGGATCCACCCGGTGGATTTGGCTGAGCACGGAGGTGACCGCGGAATACACCTTGCGGCGCTGCTCTGGAGACAGATCCGGCAGCGACGGGTCTTTGAAGATGCGCCCTTCGGCGTAATCCATCAGGAAGAAGGGCGTCCCCAGCACGCTGCGAGAACGGGGCAGCAACAGCGGACGGCAACGTTCGTCGACGACGTTCAGACAGCAACAGACCGAGCCCGATACCCACGCGTTGGGTTTGGAGAAGCCATTCGACTGCATCTGGTGAAGCGAATGAAACTAAAACTATTTTCTATTTCACCAGGTAAGTCCCAGTGAGCTGTACAGCTCTTTTCTCAGATGCGACCTGGCCACAAATGATAGCCCAACGAAGTGGCTTATCACGTGGAAATTTCTAGCAGCCCAATACTTTACACGCATGTTCATTCTAAATGTGGAGGGAAAAGCTGGAGGACTCGGAGAAAAATCCACGCGACCACTGGAAGAACACCCAAACTCCAAATATACAGGTGTCAGGGTTGGGATGGAACCCACGACATCCTGCATAACAAGGTGAGAGAGTCAACATCTCGCCACCGATTGCGTGTGCACATTCCTGCAAACGCACGTGGGGGCAACGACCTGTGATAGGGCTCCAATTGCTAGGCAACCACTCCCCAGACAACAACAGTCGCCGATCGCTAGCCAACACTGTTGACGATTATCTGAACTGGTCCTGGGCCGGTCGACTGAGCCTCAAACGAGTACTTGGTGCAGTGCGTAAAGATTGCCAATGGGGAGACAAAGGCGGCCAGGTGCGGTGCTGGCCACCCACCCCCTTGTGTGCCATGCCGACCTTCATAGGCGCTGCTCGCTAAGAACACTTGCCCCAACAGTCTGTGACAGGCTATACGGGCGGATCTTTGTCTTTGTGTAGACCGACGCGTGAGTGGCAGTGTTTCTTTCCCACGTTGGTCACTCTTGCGTCTTGATGCCTGAAGGACGACGATTGCCTGTCGAGACTCGAGTTGTCTGCGAAGTTGTCTTCAGGTCTCGATCGTTGAGTGACGTGTGTGTCTCTCAAACTGAGACGCGCCGCGTCCAACCAGCTGAGCGTCGGCACGGCCCCTCCGTGGCGCTATCGTCACAGCTTGGTTTGTAACAGTTCACATCTCCTCGCAACCCGATGACGTGTCACAATCAGGCACCGTGATTCGAATGAAGATTCTGTCACTTGTTGTCGTCTCGTGCATGCCGCGTCCCAATGCGCCTGCAGCAAATTCTCAATCGGTGCACGCTACCCGTCTTGCAGGTTAAGTGTGTGCGGGCGAGTAAGGTGTGGTGTGTGCGTGTGTCCATACGAAGGTGTTGGCGCTTGGGATCTTTTGACTCACCTGGAGTCCTCGCACAGAGAGAGCACTTGCGGTACGGGGACTCCGGCCGCTCCCAGAGCCTTCATCACCCTGCACGGAGCACAGACGCACACAACAGAGACACGAAGATCCCCAGTGTAGCCTACACAGACTATTGCAGCAAGTGCTGACAAAGGTACTCGGGGTTATGGCAGTGTGGCCTGCACCATGCCAGGCTGCCTTTGTCGCTCCAGCGCTGATGTTTACATACCCCACACAAAGGTACTCATTTAAGGCAGTCAACCTACGGGAGGGACCAACACTACTCCAGATATCACTCGACATTGATGTTAGTCGTGGGGCAGTAATGGAACTCGGGTTAATAAAATCACGATGCCACCACTCCATGCCTTTAAACAATCGGTTTTAAAATGTACCAAAAAATAACTGAAACGCATCCATCCCCCACACCTCCATCAGCTGACCAACTCAGAAACAATTATCCACCGAGAAAGTGCGACATAAATGCATTCATGCGGCATTATTATCACTATTATTGTGTATACAGGGACCAAGACAGCAGCCACTGCTCCCCCATCTCGCCATCCACACCTGCATTGGAGTGCCGTGGTGGCAAGATGTTAACTAACTCGCCAGGTATACAGGAGATTGTGGTTTCGATGCCGACCCTGACACCTGCTGTATATTTGGAGCTTGCGTGGACTTTTCTCCGGATCCTCCATTTTTTCCCTGCACATTTAGAATCAACGTGCGTTTAAAGTATTTGGTCGCTATGAATGTAAACGCGGTAAGCCACTTCGTTCAGCTATCATCACATGTGGTGGCCGGGGGTCGCTCCTCAAAAAGAGCTAATTAGATCAGTGGGACTTACCTGGTAAGATGAAAAAATTGCTTAGTTTAGCAGCAGTAGTTTGCATTTTTCCCCTACTCGAATAATAACTTTTCTCGGATTGTTCCAGAATCTGGACCTCCACGTGGTGCCGATTAGCTGCACCTGTACTCCCTCTCTACGGCGTGCGCCAATGGCAGCAGCTTTCCCGGCGGCTTCTTGCGCAGGACGAGCTTGCGGTCGCCACACTCCACGTAGTATGTTGGGTTGGACAGGCCGTGCTGGAACTGACGCACGAGTAGGGCGTCTGTTGAGGTGCAACACACACCATAGACTCAACACACACCATAGACTCGACACACACCATAGACTCGACACACACCATAGACTCGACACACACCATAGACTCGACACACACCATAGACTCGACACACACCATAGACTCGACACACACCATAGACTCAACGCTGCACCACAGACTCAACGCTGCACCACAGACTCAGCACTCCCCACACACTTAAAACTGCTCATAGACTCAGCACTCCCCAGACTCAGCACTGCCCATAGACTCACACTACCGATTAACACTGCCCATAGACTCAACACTCCTGTAAATCAAGCAGGCCCCCTCCTTAACCTTCTTTCGCCGCTTTATAAATATAAAATAAGATCAAGAGTATGAATACTACTGCTGCACACAATGGGAGAGTTCTAGGCAGCAAGAGGCATGATCGTGACCACTGGGTCGGCCCTCCTGATCGTACACGACGTCAAGGTGCAATGCAACAACACGATGTGGATGTAGCGTCTCAAGTCGCCGCTGTGCAGAAAGAGCGTGACGCACGCACGCACGCACGGGGGGAAAACCACTGGAAATAGGGAGACATCGCACTTGTAACAGATTATTTTAACAAAGGAACAGCCAACCCTGTAAAAACCCCCAAACACAAGCTCTGTGCACGAGGACGCGTTGCGACCTGCTTGAACGTTACCGAGCGTCGGACGTGCCAATAAAACAAAATAAAAGCGTAAACCCCATTTGTATACGGTATTATTATTATTTCCCGCTCACCCGTGTGCAGCCCCAGTGCCGTGCGCAGGTAGGCAGCCAGCGCCCGCTCGTCAATCTCCAGGCCGGCGCGCATGGCGCCGGTGTCCGGGACGCCGTGGGACAGCGAGAAGCCCAGCAGGGACTCCAACTCTGCCAGTGCCACCTTGAGGTCGCCCACCTGCAAGGGAGACAAAATCCTCCCAATTGGTATCATGTGGAGAGCGCACGCGTTCTCATCAGATCTAAACTAAACCATCGGAACGATTGTTATTTTACCAGGTAAGGCCCACCGAGACGTGTAACTCTTTTTCACCCCATTCAGCGAAGTGCTCTACCCCAGATCGACATTGCTTTTCTCAGCGGTCAACGTGACGTCTCCAACCTGTGCCTTTGTTCCCCGAACGCACGTTGCCCCTCCTTCCGTGTCTCAATGTTACGCCCGACGTGCGTTCCACCACGCCTCGTCTGCCGCGCATTATCGGGCGCAGCCCTTCCGACGCTGGCCGTGACGCGGCACGACCCGAGGCCACCATCGGAGAGCCGCACAGCACGACCGGGGAACGCCGACGCGGCGGAACTTTTCCGTCGTGGCTACGTTGTGTTGTTTGGCGTGTGCAGTGGTCGCGGTGGGAGGATCGCACCTCGATGGTGCGAAGGCCCAGGGCCCGAGCCGGTGCCAGGTTTTCTCCGAGGTCGTCGAGAAAGACGGCAGCGCTCGGAGGAACCCCGAGCTCCTCCAGGCAGAGCGAGTAGATCCTGGGGTCCGGCTTCTTCATCCCGACCACGCACGACTCCACCACCTACACCACGATGAGACCAAATGCCAAGTGGCCACATCTTAAATTGTCACACTGCTGTCAAAAAATAATCTACTCCTTGGGTTTCCTGCTGGCTGCTGGCTGGGCTCCTGTCCAGGACGTTCAACAGAAGATTGCTCTGGAGCGCTCTGCCCATCGAACGAAACCCCCCCCCCCCTTTACTGTCGCAATCTGTACAATCTCGTTTGTTTTGATTACGAGCATAAAGTAGAACAAATCCATGCATTTTTGCATTATCGTCAAACACAAGCCAGCGGGGCAGACGACGTTAGGAGGAGCCGAGCGAACGCATCCGCAATAACCGGCGGCGGCACGTCGGGAGGGGCCGCGCTGACCACGTCGAAGAGGGCGCGGTCCAGCGGGAGGAAAGTGGCGTCGCCGCGGACGTAGAAGTTGTTGGTGAGCAGCGCCGTCTTGACGCCGCGCTCGCGCGCTCCCCTCAGCGCCGCGAGGGCGCCGGGCACCGGCGTGGCGAGCTGCCCCACCAGGTGCGCCACGAAGCCGTCCACGCTCACCGCGCGCCCCGCCTGCTCCCACGCGGTTAAAGCACAAACGACAGCGGGCTTTTCAATTCATCGGCGTCGACCGCGGTCAAATCCACATCAGGTCAGGCGAGGCGGGGGGGGGGGGGAAAGGCAGCCACGGCCGTCAGCCGAACCCAACGATTTTCCAAGTTCTGCAGCCCTCCAGCTACTCAGGCATTTATTCACTAGTTAATGAGTGTTTACACGCGGGCGGAAACAGCAGCACGTGGAGAAGACGCCACGCGTGCGAGGGGGAGACACTCTGATCCCATACGGACGGAACAGGTGGAGTCCACATTAATGCTCTACTGCATTCTACTGGTGAGCCAGGGGTAGGACACTTTCTTGACGCAATATGGAAAGGGAGTATCACAACATTCGTGCGATCCATCAACCCTCGGTGTCTGGATTACAGAGCCACGTGGATAGCTACTGCAGCCCTATGGCTGTGTTGGCTATGCACGTGTGTTGTTATTGTGTCGGTGTGTTTGTAACCACTATTATTATCGTGTTATTGTTTAAAAATATTTTATCACATTTGGGGTTATGTTACCACTATCACAGCCTGACAGCTGCTGTCGTTGTGAATGTGCATCGTGTTCTAGATTCACTGCTGGATGAGGGCCTCCCACCACCGCCCGGACCAAAAATCCTCATTTAGATGGGTTTTGTATTATCCGTGTTTTCATTTCGTCCGCTCCACTCTTGCCCTCCATCACTCCGGCTAATCAAGAATTGCCCACCGGGTGGCTCAGCGGTACGGCGAGCCGCTCGCGATCGAAAGGAATGCAAATTAAAATCCTGCTTGGGGGTTGACTCGGGCTCTCATCCGTGCTGCTGGGCTCGATTAAAACGAGCACCACAACGTGGGGAAGTTAACGGCGGTTGTCCTTTCGGGGAAGACTCGCCTCCCGTCATAGGGATGGGGGAGTTTCCGCCGCTCGCTCAAAAGCTGCAGAGAGGAACTGGGCACAACCTTGAGCACCACTTTCATTTCGAGCAGCAAATCGCGTGACTTTGAATCGCAGGTCGACTGTGCGACCGACGTCTGTGGATGGCGATCGCGCTCGGCGCTGCGTACGATTCTGGAGCAGTCGGCGCCGAAGAGCTCTTTGAATCTCTCGGGCGACATCTCCCCACGCTGGTAGCGGCACCACGCGTTCGCCTCCCCGCCGTCACGCAGCACGCTCAGCACCGTGCCGCCCGGCAGCCCGCACGCCGCCTCCCACTCTACGCACCACCCACACGCAACCTCCGGTTAGCACGGCTGGCCACGTGCGCTGCGAAAGAAGTCCGACACGCGTATATGCACACGCACACACCAGGACGGCGACGGCAGCGACAGTAACGACGGCCGCTGTTGACCACTAAGCGGCGGTGACGCCATCCACCCGGAGCTTGTGCCATGCTAGGTTCACTCTGATGCCGTCACGTGAAGTGTCAAAGGCTCGCTGCTGACAGGAGGTCGCGGGACAGAGCCAGAGGTGCCACGTGTTGATGGACGGAGATAACTGACTGATGCAACACCTGTGCTCCCTATTGCGCCAACTTGCTGCAATTTAGCCGCCCGGTGCTCAGCTCGTTGTTCCGAGTGTCGCTCCTCCGCCCTCCCGTGTTGCTGGAGGGCGACTGCCTCCAACTGCCCAGTAGCGTCCTTCACGAGCCTCCTCAACAGAGGCCGATCTTGACACCGCTGGTACCAGTCATCGGCAAGTCCACTCAGCCCAACATTCTTCCGTCACACATTAGTCCCTCTCTTTTCGAGCCCATGCCGTGCCCATTTAGCCCCCTCTATCGGGCCAAACAGAAGCTGCTTGGAAATGCGGTGGCTGGGCATGCAGACTACATGACTCAGCCAATGTACCCTCAGCTGCCGGAGAAGCTCATCGATGGGACTACCCCCTACTATTTCAAAGATCTGCGAGCTCCTCAGACAAATCAAGCATGGTTAAAACCAGGATGGATCGTAGGCAGACTAGCCGGAATGTATTAAACCAGCGCAGACACACACACACAACATACACGACCCCTGTGTAGCATTACGGATTGATGGGGCAAACGCTGCTAGTGGGAACCTATTAAAGGGTGTCACGGTGCACGAAGGGGGGGGGGGGAGTGAGTGTGGTGAGCACCACAGTCTGGCTGCCTTTGTCTCCCCAATGCGGCAGTATGTTTCCCACTGCACCAGTCATGAGTTTGAGTCAACCAAGGGGAGACCCAGGCCCAGTTCAGATATTCGTTACTGATGTTGGCCGTGATTGGGAATCAAACTCAAGTTGCTTGGATCAGAGCGCGGTGCGCTAACCAGTAAGCAACCATCCCCACGACGTTTGGTGGGTATACGATGTCAGAACTCTCTGACAGCATGTGTATTATAAGCGTTATTGATTGTGAAGATGCAACAATGACTTATGGTAGACTCGTGCTGAGCAAACTTCAGTTGAAGAACTTTTAAGCAATTCTTATTCACTCTGGAAGTACATCAAAGAAACAAAAACAACACGACAAAAATGTGAAATACAATTGGTAAATTTTCGATTTAAAGCTTTCGTGACTGCAGGGATTCATCTTCTTGGTTCTTTCGGTAAAGTCACGTAGAATGGAAATAAAATATTTTATTAAGTTTTATTTTTATTATTTTATTTACATTCTACGTGACTTTACCGAAAGAACCAAGAAGACACAATTACTAAGTTATGGGAAACCGACATTGTGATGATCATCACATCGTGACATTGAATATCGTATCATGCAAAACGATATCACAGCAAGCCCACCTTGCACTGCACAGGGACAGCTTCCTTTGGCTAGACTTAAGCTGGGCACCAGAATTGTTGAGTTGGGACGTGATGCAAAGTGCTTCGAGTTTCGGAGGCATTTAACCCTTTCTTGTTCCAATGACGTACATGTAAGTACGTGTACATCACCAGCTTTTATTCCGGTTCCGTTCAGAGCTTTATCCGTACCGAGGCTCCCACAAGGCCATGCGGGAGGGTATGTGGTACAGTTTGGCGCCAGCCATCATTGAGTGTGGCCGTGTCGCTACAGTTCTCTGCGGTGAGTACAATGTCTTTAAAAACAACGGCGCTACTAAGCCTCTCTAAATAAAATTCACCGTGAACCGCTTGCGCGTTCCGAAATTCGGCGGTGAGCGGGATGACCCACCCTGCAACTTGCAGTCATCTCGGGACGCGAAAGGGTTAAGTGCCCTATAAATACCAGCGACCCTTGCCCCGACGAGGCCCCTCGGTCAGGATAAGGTTCCTTGCCGCGCCATCCGTAACGACGCGGCGCAGGCGCGCACCTTGCATGGGCGGGTACGGCGACGGCAGGATCACTCCTCCCATCTCGAAAATGACGGCTCTCACGTCGCCGGCGCCGTGGCTCCATCGCGGGCTCGCGAGTCGCGTGGCGCGCAGGGGCAGCGGCGGCAGCAGCGAGCGCAGGCGGGAACCCCGCCAGAGGCTCAGGGAGTTCCAGCCGAACATCCTGATCGGTGGGGGTGGAGGCAACAAGGAGGCCAATTGGTGCCCCGCTCGACATCAGCGGACACAACTTACAAAGTGGATTTGTGTACGGTACGGTCTTTTTGTCAAGCCACTGCTGGATGACGTCCACTACATTTGGGTCGTTGTGGAGGGGGGGGGGGGTGTTATTTGACCGGCGTGTTTCATGGTCGGCCGGTACAGTTTGGTGAATGCGGGGTAGGCGCAGACGCCGGAGTATAGGGCAACAGACGTCTCCGCACTAGCCCCCTTCTGACAAACGTAGCCCTGCAGCAGACTACAACGCCTGTTTTACGAGCGGCTATCACCCATTCAAGCATTGTCCAGGCTCACCCCTGCTGAGCTTACGAGATCAGGCACATTCCGGATGATTCGGCCACATGGGCTGTGGAGTTATATCATACCTAAACGCAGCATTTCAACATGCGATACAGTGGGCATATTTATTGTATATACAGGGTGCTTCAAAAAAATGTTAAGACTTCTCAGAATTTGCAACACCACAAGAAATGTGCTGCCTCCGGGCTCTGGAGACCACCTGGAGAAGACTCCAAGGCACGTGTTGACAATGATGGCGAACAAGTCGAGACTCTTTCACGTTTTGAAGCTATTAACATTACATTTGTTATCATGTTACAGTGTATTATCCGTTCTTTTGCCATTAAAAATAATAGTCGCATGTGTTTGCATTTTTTAAGTACCCTGTATAGAGGGAAAGTCATACAAATAAAGACATCTCGTATTATTCAACTGCCCGAGCTCTGTGGTCCTCTATATACCAAGGTGTTATCCACCAATTAATGAGTGCTTACGTGTGGGAGGAAATCGGAACACTTGGAGAAAGCCCCACGCGTGCGTGGGAGCAAAACTCTACCCCATACGGAAGGGGCATGTGGAGAAGTGGGCTTTGCACAGAACGAGTTGGGTTGCAGAGATCTGTTCGTCCGTCGATTTGTTCCTGTTGTGCCTCACAGCAGGTATGGGGGGTGTGTACACAGGAATTTCCTGTTTTGATTTTGAATTTGGTCACGTGTCCAGGAAGTTACGATTTAGGATTCTCTCAGCCACGCAGCAGGGTGTCGGCCATTACACAGAGTACAAAAGGGTGGCACAAATAGCGTCTCAGTGAAGACATATGCATCTGTTCATTGTGGGACTTTAAGCATTGTCTGTAAGTTCGTTTATGTTCTTATAATACTGGGAATGCTGTTGTTAGAATGGCCGTTATAATGCTGTAAATGCCTGTTAAATTCTTTAGACCTCCTTTGCCAGGAGATGCTCACCCCGAGCCCTCATTACTTTGATAGTGCATTGTCTTTGAGCTGTGTGACGCCTTTTGGCGTCATCTGGTCGAGCACCAATTGCGTCGAGGCTCAAAAGAAAGCCGTCCCTTGGTGTGCACCAATCAGTTTCAAGGACAATGCATATATTATCACAGTATGTTTTTTGTTTGCATTTTGACTGCAGGTATTGTGGTTAATGCAGACATGAATCCTTGTAAAAAAAGGTTTCAGTTTTGTTGCCAGAAAAAAGGGGAAAAACCCTATTATTGCCTGTTAAATTGTTATGATAAATATGAGGCCTAGTTAACAACGAAGCCTGCCACTTACCTTATTGTGAATGTTACTTGTAATTGAATAAGTCGAGTCAGACTTGTACCCATGTAACCTGATTGCGATCTTGAGAGCAAGGATGACGAAATATCTCATCCACAGTTCAGTGTTATGTGTAGTGCTGTACATTTAGGCTGCAGTATGGTGATTACACGATGTGCCCTTATTTGACACAGCTTATTCTCTTGTATATCTATTCAGCACTAATGTAGGTGCCTGGTCCATCCAGGATCTATTGTTGAGTTTCATGTTATCTAAGACAATGTTATGATGCTGTCGTGTTCATTCATTGTATTGATATTTTCAAGTATTAACAGATGCCGTATTTGTGCTGTTTTTCCATCAGTTTTACCTCGTTCAATTCATTGAATACGTTTGAAGTCGGATGTTCACCCTGGCTCTGAAGGTTTATTGATTGCGAGGTTATCTACTCGGATAGTGGTGCCACGCAGCGCACAGCAAGGTCGAGAGGGTTCCTAAGTCCAACTTTACTCATGTCGATTCCAAACACGTTACACGGCGTGTACTCTGAACACGGCGTGTACACTGAACACGGCGTGTACACTGAACACGGCGTGTACACTGAACACGGCGTGTACACTGAACACGGTGAATGGCTTTAAAAGTTGTATAATCTCTTGTAGATGCCACTGGTTCTTTATGTTCTGCATATGTCGATCCTGCTGGTTCTTCACGTTCTGCAGATATAGATGTCACCACCGCCATCTATTTGCGTAGCGGTTGAACTTACGACTCTCGGTCAGAACAGCTGCAAATGGACATATGGACGAGTCCGTTCGTATCTCTTAAAGTTCGTAAGTCGAGTGTTCGTAAGTAGAGGAGGGCCTGTACTGCCTTCTCCCGGAGAGCTAGGGTATGGATTACCAACCTTCGACGCCCACAGGTTCGGGAAGTTCACAGCGTAAGACTATACAATCCGCAAAGCTATCACTCAAACCATGAAGGACCCTCTTGAGGAGCCTTTCAAAACCATCACTTACCCTACATTGCGGGGATCACAAAAAAGATCTCCAAAATCTTGAATAAACACAAGATCCAGGTCCGTTTCAACACATTACATAAAATCCGTGATCTGGTTCCGTCTGTAAAATATGTGATTTCGGACATACAGTACCCTTGTGTCTACAAACTAAGTTGCC